CCGCAAGCACAGCGACGCCGACTGCCTGTCCAGAGCTCCCGTCGCAACACCTTCCGGCAGCAGCGACGACGATGACGACGAGTGTTTTCTGGGCGCAGTGAACATCGACGACATGGCCCGGCGTCAACGAGACGATCCTGAGCTGCGCGCACTAATAGAGCACCTGGAAGGGCGCGGGAGTACCGTGCCACGTGTTTTTTCACGAGCGCTGCCGACCTTCGCCATTAGACAAGGTGTACTCTACAAAGAGAACTTCGGGAACAACAACTCGCCATGGCTGCTGGTAATCCCGACCGACCTTCGGGAGGAGGTCTTTCAAGCCTGCCACGACGACCCGACGTCCGGACACCTTGGTTACAGCCGGACCCTGGCACGTATTCGTGAAAAGTATTACTGGCCCAAGCTCCCCAAAACCGTCCACCTGTACACGCGATCATGTCATGAATGCCAGCGACGGAAGAAACCTCCGACGAGGCCGGCCGGACTCTTGCAGTCAATTCCTCCGCCAACAGCACCCTTCCAGCAGATCGGAATGGATCTACTTGGCCCTTTTCATCCGTCGACGTCGGGAAATCGCTGGATCATCGTCGCCACAGATTATCTCACGCGGTATGCCGAAACGAAAGCCCTTCCTTCCGGAACTGCTGTGGAAGTTGCCAAGTTTTTCATTGAATCCATCGTCCTCCGGCACGGCGCTCCCGAAGTCCTGATCTCAGACCGTGGATCATCATTCATGGCCCAGCTGACGCAAGAAGTCCTTCGTCTCAGCCACACCAGCCATCGCCGCACCACGGCGTACCACCCGCAGACCAACGGGCTAACGGAGAGACTCAACAAGACCATCGCCGACATGATCTCCATGTACGTCGACGTGGAGCACAAGACATGGGACGAGGTGCTGCCGTACGTCACATTTGCCTACAACACGGCCGTACAAGAGACCACCGGAATGACACCCTTTCAGCTGGTGCATGGGCGCAAGGTAACGACAATGTTGGACGCTATGTTACCCCACGAAGTGGCTGTCGACGCAAGTGACGACGCCCAGGTGGTTGCCCAAAGGGCAGAAGAAGTCCGTCAGCTCGCCAGACTTCGGATTCAGGCTCAACAATGTGTCGACACTGGCCGCTACAACCTTCGTCGTCGGGACGTCCACTTCCAGCCCGGAGACAGGGTGTGGGTGTGGACACCGATTCGCCGCCGCGGTCTCAGCGAGAAGCTCCTGAAACGTTACTTTGGACCCTACAAAGTGCTTCGTCGACTCGGGGATCTGAACTACGAGGTGATGCCCGACGGAACACGAACATCGTCACGCCGCCCACCACGACCTGAGGTCGTCCACGTCGTGCGCCTGAAGCCGTACTACGCTCGATAGGACTGTGGACCTTTTGTGCTCCAAAAGACTCTTTAGTTTATCGTTCTTTTTTTATTTTGATTTGTTTTACACTGCATCGGGGCGATGCACTTTTAAAGGGGGAGTAATGCCGCGCGCAATGCTGAGAAAGCAACGCTCGGTCGCGGTCCTCCAGAAAGCTCCCGTTTATTCATGTACCGCCCGTAACTTCTATCATTTATCCTGCTTTTGTTTTCTAGAAAGTACGTGTTCATTCTCGCCCCGATCACGCGACGCTCGAACCGCTTTCGCCGAATCTTCGAGATAGCGACGCACTCTAGATAAGAGGCCGCCCGCGACCTTGTCGAGTCAGTCTCGCCCCAGCGCTCGATTCTGCTGACACGCCGACTTCGACGCCCGCGACGCTCTGCTTTCTTCTGTTTCCTTCCTTATTTTTGGCACAAGTTCGCCACATTAAACGTTTATTTATTTCTGTTTATTTCTTGTTTATTGGTCACGAATCACCACCCGTGACAATATTGACTCCCTGAAAAGATTTGCTCTTAAAGCGCGAGACACATGGACGGCAGAATCGTCCGATCCGACGTCCGATCCGACAGTCCGAACGCCGCTCCGAATTGCCGCACGCGACAGTTTGAGGCACACGCTTCCGACCTTGCATGCGACACGACGATCCGTTCGGCTCCGCCCAGGAGATCCAAGCACCCCAGCGGAGGTCCGCGTTCACAGATCTCTGGTCCCAGATTGACGGTTTAGATCACACGAGCAAACTTAGAAGCTCGTGCTCGTTAGCGCGTGCATTCTTTGCCGGAGCCATCTTTCTCGAATGGGTCAGCGAAATCCACGCGTCCAGCTTCCCGTCACCCGTCCTGTTTTCTTGTTCGTCCCGCCAGACCCAGTACGTCATCATGACGTTTGTGCTAGGTGTGCGGTCATTGGCTGGACGCATCCGACAATCCGTCCGCCGTGCGAAACTATCTGGCGCGTTGGACGCACGTTGGGTCGCCGATCCGACGCCTGAAGCGACCAAATTTTTCGGACCAGGCAGTCGTATTGCCGGATCGGACGTCGGATCGGATGGATGTTTCGTGTATGTGTCTCGCGCTTGAAGCGACCAAATTTTTCGGATCAGGCAGTCGTACTGCCGGATCGGACGTCGGATCGGATGGATATTTCGCGCTGCCCTCCATGAGGCGTTTCTGCCACTTCGACTCACCGTAACTTGGCAAATGTAAAAGGCTACGGTACCAGTGAACCAAACAACGCGTCGGAGAAAGACACGTGAGTATAGTCCAGAGGCGGCCAGAGCGACTTGGGGTTAGAGCCGCAGACAATATACAAAAGTTCAGACAGCCTCAGAAAAATAGAAGAAAAAAACAGGGGGGGGGGGGTGTATTTTTAACAAGAAATGACATGGAGAAAACAGTTCTTTCCACAAGTATAATTGTCGATTACAACAAATTCCATCAGGCTGCAGAACGTTTCTTGAACCGCTAAACAAAGAAGAATGCGTTGTTCGCTAGCCGGCCAGTGACCCTGACGGTTGTTATGCCCATGCAGTTCTAAATTCTCTCTAGAACAATGCACGAAACAGGGTCACTGGACAGATCTACGCGTCAGCAAGTGGTCAAGCTGTAGGTATTGTGTAGTACAAGGCTGCGAAGTCTGTGAACTTTTTCTTCTTTCTTTTTTAATTCTAGAACTTTTGTTTTGTTTTGGGGCAGAGGAGGAGGCACACTTGAACCCGCGAAGAGCTGCATGAGGCTCGCGAGCCGCAGTTTGGCCACCCCTGCTACAGTCTATCTCGCTCTAAACGCAGGGCTGTGGAAGCCATTGGCGGTAGAGAGGGAAAAGCCGCTTTTAAGGGCACAGGGTAAGGTAAAATTGTAAAAAAATTCGATTTTAGTTTTTTTCGCAATTTGAAAAGTTTAGTTCTTTCTGCACATTTTTCATTGTCCCAGTGTTTTTAGAAAGCTATATTTCGGGCTGAAAATCACTTCTTCCGAAAGCAAGCAGCAGGTGACCACGCCTCCTTCTGGGATACACTCCCTGTTTATCGATGAATTCTCCAACAAAACAAAATCAACACAAGACCTAAAATCTTGTCCAGTAACAGATAATCTCAAAAAATTATTTCGCAACTATTGCATAGCTTTTTTTCAACCAAGACAATCACGAGACGCGGTGCACGTTTTTCCCAGGTTTGTACCGTGTGTACATTCAAGCGTTTGTGTTTTCGTAACGACAAAATGGCGCCATTGAATGCTGTTCCTTTATTCAATGGTGGCAGCATTGCACAAGCCAATGTTTTGAAGTTTTGTGGATGGAACCCTGTTTGGAAAGCCATCAAGTGGCTGAGGGAAGTTGACGTCACTCTAATATACTTTACGGACCAAGCGACATGGCAGGTCACAAAAGAGGCCCGGCAAGCAAGGCGATAAGCCTAAAGGCGAAGACATGACTTTAGCAATGCCTTTCAAGCTGGCGGCTATTGAAAAAATGACTCTGAGGCTGTTGGTGCCAATAGAAATTCGTTATTCACCAGTTTTTTTTACTTTAAACTCGATTATCTCAAAACAGTGTTTTTTAGTACATACGTACCATTTTTTCCTTAACCTGACATTATAGAGGGTTGATTTTTTGTTCCTACCACATACATGGGTGTTTAAAAATACTGAACTAAAATTAAAAATGTGCACCTAGCAGTTTTTGAGTTACGAAGTTTTTAATAGATGAAAACAAATAAAATTTCAGTACTAGAATAAAAAAATTAAAAAAACTTATTTTAGATTGGTTTAAATAATTCTAGTTCAGTGGATAAAACACAATATTTCGAACAAAATGATATTTACATGACAGGAATACTCCTAATAGTCGCCGAGAAAAATGTTCCTCAACATGGCCTCAAATGCATGGGGAGTATAGGACTTACCCTGTGCCCTTAAACAAAAATTGAGCGGCAGGCTATTCTCCGGGGTGGAGAAAAGCTACGTATGCTAGAAACAAAACAAGATCCAGAAAAGAGGGGAGTTCCTCCTCTCCTTCATCTCCAACTGCTTGGAAATCTACGGTAAGATGTGTCACGTGCTTGTCCTCCGTCGCAGTCATTATGACTCCGATAGCCCGCGATAGCATTGATAAAAAGTGTCCTTTGCCACGGCACGATTGACGGAGGCTCCGTGAGCGAATAACACACACGTACTCGTAGTACCACGTACACCGCAGAAAAGCGCGCTTGACCAGGCTTCTGCGGCTTGGCTTAATTGTACATAAAATAATTGGAAAAGTTTTTATTTTTAATACCTATTTTGACGAGCTTGATGGCGCTGTAAGCACGCGGAATTCTACGGCTTTGGAAAATTGAATTAAGAAGACCATCCGAGATGTTCACTTGGCAGCGTTTACGCAACGCGCAACTAAAATCGGTCCGAAGTAGCTTGTAGACTTCAGCGTACGTCTATACTACTGCGTTTGGCGTACGTAAGAGCCAGCAACGCTATACTAAAACTGACTATTTTTCTCGAGTGTGCTGTAACGTTTGCTTTCTGGCAAGCTACCGTGAAACGAAGCGTGGCAGACAGGGAGAAAAAAAAACTGGCGATCCCTTATTCGTGCTAACAGTTTCGCTCAGTGAACGTGTCTGTACCTTGTTGCTGGTAGGTCGACAGAGCTCCTTCGAGTAGACGGGTGTATCGGCCAGCTTGCAGCTGCTCCGGACTGTTGTGAATTCCACGGCTGTGCCGAGTCCCATTGGGATATCCTAAAGGCACACAGTAAGAAGATAAAAGCAAGGCGATGTCTCCTTCTCCAAGCGCCGAGCATTATTTCAGCTATTTACAGTCGCTGACAGGATTAGAACGGCAGGGAAGTCCCTTGGTTGTCCCGCGACTTGAGTGCCTCAAGCGTGCACACCAGCATGACGGAAGGCAGCGAACGCGCGCTGCAGGCCGTGCACCGGAAAGAGACGCTCTGTCGTTTTCATACTGCCATTTCCACACCATCAATCGGGAAAGACGCGTAATCGAAGCTTCGCGGAGCACTTTTCACAGGCCGTACTTTGGAATACCATGGACAGTTCTCGGCATTCGTCAGGGATAAAGGTTATCGACATTTTTTAGCACATTGTTTTTGTTCACAGTTCATTGTTCTTGAGTACGACGAAGCTAGAGTTGCATGAATTCGACAGAAGTGTGTCCAAGTCGATTGTGACCGACTGCGATCAGGAAGAAAGAGGTGGACTGGGCGTGCGTCATTGGTCGAATTCTGATCCGATAGTATCGCATCAGTGAAAATTTGACTTTTAACACCGTACTAATTTTTACAAGTCAGTAGCGCGACGTGCGATTTCTAGAAGTCAACACGTGTGTTCGTCACTTTGAGAAGCAAAAGAACGTAGAAAATGTGACTGGCCATATGCTCGTTATTGGAAAGGTTTATGATATTGTCCGACATTACTTATAATGCAGTGCAATATCGAAAAATTATATATAGATGACAAAATATTATCCCGCGTTCCAAAAAGCTGGAATCACCTGGCCCACTCCCTAACTGAATGTATGTACATCATATCATGACCAACTCCCAAAACAAAACCGATAGCTTGAATTTTGTTTTCTGGACCTGTTTCGCAAACACATATTCAAATCTTTGATCACACTGTCTAGAACGTCAACATGTGTATTATCGCGCTCAAAACAGCACGCAGGTGTTATGTTAAACGGCGTATTTGCGGTAACGCATGAGCTTAGATAGTGCAGTTCCAACTTCCGAACAATTAAGAAGCTTGTTCGAATCCAGCAACCCGAACACCGCACGTTTTCTTCCGGTACATTACCTAACTTAAAAGGCAAATTAATTTACCTTGTTCGCCGCCCGCGTGACGTTCAACACCGTGTTGTAGTAGTCGCCGCTGTAATAAGAGTAGTTTCCAAGTGCCGCGTGGGCAAACCAGCGGTACGTCTCACTTTTCAGCCACTCACTGGGCACATAAACACAATCCGGGGTTTCGGCGTCCGGTTCAGGCTCCCTGCAACCCTCGAAGAAATCTCTCTGTAGGCCCAGCGCGGCCAGAACGGTCGCCGCCATAACGATGACTAATCCGTACATCCTCCTGACCCTTTGAATCGTCTTCAAGAGGGACGTCTCACCGTAGAAGATTCTGCTTTCGACAAGCCACAGTCGCTGCTATCTTCCAGAGTGCCGACGCTATCATAGGCACTCCTATGAGGGGTGCTAACCTGTGATGTCATAGAAACATATTTGGCAAGGGTGTGGGCTTTTTGTGTACAGTAGTCACGTGGTGCAGGCTACGGTCGCTTCCGGGATGAACGGGGACGTGTCCAATCACCTGCGCTTCCGCTCCCCGTTCTATATTAAACGGCGTCCTCTAAAGTTTAACACGTAGTTGGGGCTGTAGTTCACGTAGCGCACCGACTCGACTCTCACGACGATGACATCGCGCTTTTGTCGCCGGCATCATATCGGTGCGTTCCGCGAACTTTCGGCTCCAACTTTGTGTTTGATGAATTTAGGGCCCAAACTCGTCAAACTCAAAGTTGGGGCCGAAGCTCACGGGGCACGCCTATTGGACTATCACGAAGATCACTTCGCGCTTCTGTCGCCGGCGTCCAATCGGCGAGCTTCCCGAACCTTCGGTTCCAACTTTGTCTTTGACGAGTTTAGGGCCCCAAGACTTATGATGAGCGGCCGTCTGTGTGCTTTCACTACAACTGGAGTGTGGTGCCGAAAGAAGTAAATCATTTACGGTCTTTACGCGATCGGTGTCATAATAATGGAGACTGCTCATGCGATCTTATTCTCCTGTCAGGAAAGATTGATCGGATGCAACGCACGGCCGATCAAGACAAGACGGGCTAATATCCGCTTAGTTGCAGGAGTAGGCCTATGTTTTGTTTCGTGCACACATATTTAGGCCCTATTCGGGAGAGCGTTCAAAGCGGGCAAATTCGTTTGCCTCTAACGAAACATCGACGGCACAATGTACCAAGCATATGACACACACGAAGCCATGGAATGACAGTATTTCGAAAACTTAACTTTGTGCGGGTCAGTTTGTTAGTAGGCAACAAAAAAACACAGTTTTGTGGTCATTTTTCTTAAATTACTTTTTATTTAGTCAACCAAGTCTTTTTTTTTTTTTTTTTTTTTTTTTTTATTAGAAGATATTTTAGCCCACGAAGCTCAGAGGAAGGGTTCTTGAAGATTACGAAGCTACAAGGCCATAGTACCTATAAGGTTCTTTATTCCAAAGTTCCGTACTATATATATATCACCTAATTAATATCTGCCTCTATAGCTTACAAACATGTCTGACTATATATGCAGGTGAGTTGTGGGAACTGGGCATGTGCACCAACCCGCTTTTCAAAGAGCTCAGCGTGGCAGCATAAATAAGAGTTGCAGTGCTATAAGAAACGCGCGAAAAGAATTATAGCTGGGGCCCTAACTAGGACACTTGGCAAAAAAGTCGGCGAGAAATCCGGCACCCATGATTGACCGGCGCCAAGGTCAAGCGCGGCGTTGGCCGCCGGATTTCTCGCCGACCTTTTCGCCAAGTGTCGAGATTAGAACCCCTGGGGCCCTAATCTGAACACTTGGCGGAAGAGTCGGCGAGAAATTCGGCGGCTATGATTGGCCGGCGCCAAGGTCAAGTGAGGCGTTGGCCAATCGCGGCCGCCAGATTTCTCGCCGTCGTTTTCGCCAAGCGTCCAGCTTAGGGCCCCAGATCTCGCAGCTTCACTATAAAACTTTCCGGCGTTCATCATGCAAACCAAAATTGCCGAGTCGCTGGGCCGTGGATGCATACGCGATGTCTAATATTCGGCAGGAGAGACCTATTGCGCATGCTCAAAACGCGTCTCACAGACCAATATACAAAAATGGCAGCGCGCAGAAAGCCATTATTGAAATAATCTCCGAGCAAAAACGCGCGTGTTTGTTTCGTTTTTTGTTGTTTTTTTTTTGGGGGGGGGGGAAGGGGGGGGGGGGCATGAAATGTTTCTAGAATTTTATCCGTTCGTGCGTCCATCTTTGCATTTCCCTTTAAATTTAGCGGGGAAATCGACTTTACGTGACCAAAACATCAGTTTAGTTTCCCCGCTACATTTAGCGGGGAAATTGAGGACACGAGACCTAGAGACCTTTTCAGTTTTCCCACTAAATCTTGTACAAAAATTTACGTCTGGTGACCTGTATTTCAATTCAGTTTCTCCGTTGAATTTGGCAAGGAAATTATTGTCACGTGGCTTGAGGTCACGAGAGCTATTCTACCAATTCATTTTCTCCCCTAAATTTGGCGAGAAAAATGATTTTACGCGACCTGACGTAACGTACCTATACAGCAATTAATCGACGTTTCGAGTCAGTTTCCCTGCTAAATTTAGTGGCAAAATTAATAAAAATATAGGTTCGTCTTTATTTCCAAAAACGAATGTCTTCGAAACAGATTTAAACAATCACTCCTCAAATACTGGATTTCATGCGTTATAGAACTTTGGAGATATACGTTTATTTCTTTGCTCCGAACAAAAGTCATGCACCGGACCTCAGTGAGAAAAGACGTCAGATGACTGAAATAAAATCCATCTGTTGGTGTGATTGCTTGATTCAGGCATCCGCCAAGTAGTTCTCAATCCCGTCAGAACATTTCCTCCATAAAAGAGAAAACTGTAATCTTGTATTACGTTGGACTTCTTGAGGTATTACCTATAACGGCATCCGTTCCGTGCTGCCAAGGGCGTACCAACCGGGGGGGGCAAGGGGGGCGCTTGCCCCCCCCCCCCCCAGTTCTCAGAGCGGGGGGCAAGGCAAGGCAAACACTGGCCGGCGGCGACCAAGGGATACCAATGCCCTAGGGGGGTGGGGGGTTGGGTCGTGTCTGGCTTGCTTCCCCACTCAAAAACAAGTTGGTACGCCACTGCGTGCTGCCAACGTCAAAGTGCGTCTGGGGCCCTGTAGACGAGAGACTCCATAACAATGCTTTTCCAAGGCAACAAAAAACAAATTCAGGAACAAAAAAAAATTTGCGATACTAATGACTTGTGTGCTATACCTAATCTCATGGCTCTAACACCCATACACCGCACAAACACAGATCTTTTTAAAGTTGGCATTTTTTTGAGCGATCGGCGCACATTGAATTAATAATTGGGGTCGTGTGGATATTTATACAGCGCGTAGTTAGTCAAGCATTCCAATGTCCACAATGTGCGCGATCGGCGCACATTGTGGACAGTGGCGACGGTGTTCTAAAGAAGGTACAACAACGCTCTTTGCAATGAGCAAACTCCATCGAGCCTTAATGACACGCTATACTCCTCGTAATCTCGGAATGCACGTTGCGAATGAACTGTGAAAGCTCGCTATCAGCTCGCGCTCTGCAGTTGCGGCCCCACGTGACCGATACTCTCGTCATGCTTCGGCCTGTTTGCCGCTCGGGGCGGGTTGGGGATCTACAAATCGTCATATGCAGGCCTCGTCTTTTAGACGGTATTGTATGAGACCCCATTCGTGTCAGATACATGCTCCTCATTTTAGTATCTCACATTCGTAACTATATACACTTCGTTCACCGGTAAGGTGAGACTGCAGCACGAAAGCTGGACCCCTTGATCCACAAAGCGAGCACTCACGCTAGAAATGCAAGTAGTTTAAAGCTAGGAGCACGGTATAGCTGGCGCTTGTAGATTTGGCTGCATTATCAGCTTAAGAGTGAACGGAGTATTAGCGGCGATATGTTTGGGTGGCGCCCTTTTGTGGTTTCCTCTCGTGACGTCATTACCTTATGAACAACAAGTTCGACGGTATTTATAATTAGCATGGTGTAAGCTTGAGATCATTGCCCTCTGAAACGAATACTGCCAACAGCGTCAAAATTGAAGTTCTTACATTACTCTTATTTCTGTCGATGAAGAAACCTCTGCTGACGTCATAGTCAGCATTCGGCCAATCGTGGAAGGCCGACCACGGCGACGCTTTTCATCACGCACGTCGCTCCAGCAGTGAAGGCAACAAAAAAGAGTTGTCGTCGTAAAGGGGGATCCACACGAAGGAGAAATCCGCCACGTTCCTCCGCGGATCGCGCATCACGTGAGACATACGTCATCCCTTTTTGACGCCTCGCGGCGCCGTTCTCCCGTTCTCCTCCGTGGCGGAGGCGCGGAGGCTTCGTGCTGTCAGCTTGAAAGCTCCGCAAGTGCACGCGGCGGAGCCGGGGACGGAGTTTCCCGGGCTGTTGACGTCACGACATCCGTCCGCGGAGTTCTCCTTCGTGTGGATACCGCTTTAAATAGCCGATTCACACGACGGACCAAATCGCGATTTTCGTCCGCGGACCGTGTACCACGTGACCGGCACGTCACCGATTCCTGCGATCCGCGCCTCCTCCGCGGAGGCGCGGACTGATAAAGTCGAGCGCCTTTTTCACTCGCGGACGTTTGGCGGCAGACTGACTTGGAAAGCATTTAGTCTGGCAACGGTACATGGTTTTCTTGGTATTTTGCTTCTGTGCGTTCAAAACAAAAATGGCGCGTCGTTGCGTTTTGTGCGTTTGTTGGTTCATTTTGTCGTACGATTCTTGGTTCCACGCGTGAGAGAAACTCCAGAAACTTTGTCCGGCTGACGCGACGCAGGTTCCGGTGCTCCTCCGGGTCCGTGTCAAGAAGCTCCCGTCAAAACTAGTCTAGCACGCCGCGATAATTCTTGCACGTCCAATCAGGACTTCACCGAGCAAGCCCCCTCTTGTGGATGTGGTGTGCTTGAGTGTTGTGCACGAGCGCGGAGTGTGTGAAGGCATCTCCAAACGCCCCTCCGCGAGCCCAGAAGTTCGTCGCGTCTACGCCGAAGCTTTTTCGAGCAGGATCATGCCTGTGTCACTGTCATGCTTTGGGTTAGTAAAGTTAGTGGCGCTTCGCGCGAAGCCTGTCCCGGTGTTTTGTTCTCGATCTGTACGTAGCAGCGGCGTACGATTCTTTGTCGCGGTAGCAACCGTCGATTTCTCTCTTGGACAACGGTGCTACTGTGCGATGTGGGAGTTTCGCGGCACTGTGGGGTGCGAACAGGTTCGGTCCGTCCTCACTGGCGTCTGCTCGTCGTCTCCCTCGTGTGGATGCGCTTGGGAGACGGACGAACCGCGGATATGTCGTCACGTGATCAATCCGTCCGCGGATCAGTCCGTCGTGTGAATCGGCTAAAAGGGGTATCCACACGAAGGAGAAGTCCGCTCCTTTCC